CTTCCCTTTACTCAGCAACACAAAGCATTAGCGCTGAGTATGCATACTGTGCAGCTCAAAACGCTATCATTCTTCATCTGTGAATGTATGATAATTATTTTAAAACTACGTTGTATAAACATGCCAGAAAATGCAGCTAGTTGTATGCCTCATTTTAGTCCACAGAAACAATAAAGCAGCAACATAATCACCATTTCAGTGACATCCCATTCTTTTTTGCAGGATCTTGCCCCTTGTTTCCCAAACCCACTTAGATACAAGTCTATACCGGTCAAATCCAGGTCCTGTACCCATTCTGTAATTGTGACCAATGCTGCAAAGCAGTCCCGATCAACTGTGGTAAAGCATTTTTGAAGTTAGTGCCAGTCAGAGATGAAATATGCCCAAAACATTTGATATCATGATATAAAAAACTTGTGATTGTTGAAAGTGTTGTTCCTCTGCACAAAATAGATCATCATATTGCCCAGATCTATGGACCATCCATTAAAATTCAATTTATTTATAGTTCAGGATAGGATGGGAATGAATTCTGCTGATAATTGTTAGAATTATTCTTTCATTTTTTATATAAAATTTTCAGTTTACCACAGTTTGGCCGGTCCCAGTGCTGCAGTGGCCTAATCAATTTGGGAGGTCTCATGCAATCTATGTCCTTTGAAGTGAGTAAAGAAAGCTGCCACACTCTGGCTGGCTGCATTCCATGTGATAGCTGGTTGGCCGCAGATACTGCATTGAAGGACTTGCACAACTCTGGATGGAGCCAGGTCATGACAGATAGACAGGCAGCCCAGAGCATTTTGTTCAAACGAAAGAGGTACCAATATCCAAGGGTGGGGTCGCTTAGGCAATAATCTAACATATGCAGATATGGACATCTGCCGGGGACCATCTGCTGCATTTGGCCCCTGGGGACCCCAGAAAGGAGCAAAAATATGAGGAGGCTCAAACATTCCAAGGTACCATATGAAAATTGTCTTAGAGTAATAAAGTCACTCCACAGAGTTCAGTACAGCACATGCCAGACAATTTGTCTGCTGTATATGACCCACCAGACACCCAAAAAGGGCCTAAAAATTGACCTGGATCAAACATTTGAGGTACCAATTGAAACTGTTTTTAATTGAACAAGTACAAAATACAGAGTACCAATTGCCCCCTACCAGACATTTTGACTGCTGCATAAGGCCCCCCAGACACCCCTAATGTGGGCCCTATCGACAATTGGGCTAGATCAGACATCGTAGGTACCATATAAAACTAATTTTGAATAAACAAGGACATCTAACATAATACAAAATGGCCCCTGCCAGACAAATTGTCCGCTGCCATAACACCCCCCAGACGCCCAAAAAGGATCCCAAAATTTGTGCTGGATCAAACATTTCAGGTACTACTTGAAACTGCTTTTAACTAGATTGGGCTCGATCAGACATTGTAGGTACCACATAAAACTAATTTTGAATGAACAAGGACATCTAACAGAATACAAAATGGCCCCTGCCAAACAAATTGTCTGCTGAATAACACCCCCCCAGACCCCTAAAAAGGGTCTTAAAACATGTATTGTATTATTTGAATTTGTTAAAAAGCATTTTCCCATCACTGTGAAGTTGTTTATGTTGAACTGAACTTAAGGACTCTGGCCTCTCTACCTTTGAAAAGAGGTGGGTCATCCTAGCCATCACAACGGCCAAACGACTACTCTTAAGGCATTGGAAAAAAGTTTGTCCCCCTCCCTTTGAAGAGTGGGCCACTACTATGGCTCAGCTGGCTAGCTATGAGAGGGTCTCATACTCACTTATGGACAGACTGGACCAATCTGAGCACGCATGGGGCCCATTTGTAACTTGGTGAACAAAGTCTTAGACTTGCAATACTGTATTATGCATCTGGTGTTGTACTGTAAATTGTATAAGGCATTATGGGGCTGAATTGGAGGAGTACCCTTTTTTTTTTCAAATGTGCATGTATGATTTATTTATTTATTTTTTTAATTATTATTATTATAAATTTTTTTTTCTTCCCTATATGCTAATTTTATGTATATGCATGTGTGTTTGTATGAAATGTGTATGTGTGTATATGCATGTATTTCTATGTTAATTTTTTGTGTATATATATATATATATATATATATATGTGTGTGTATGTATGTATGGGTATGTCTGCATATGTGTATAGGGAAATGTGGGTGTGTGCATATGTGTATGTGTATGTATGTGTATGTATATATATATGTATATGTATATGTGCATGTATGTATGTATGTATAATGTGTGTGTGTATGTATATGGATGTGTATGTATGTATGTATGTATGTATATGTATATACAGTATATATATGTATGATTATTATTATTTTTATTTATTTATTTTTTGCTTTTATTTACATTTACGTCCCCAACTTGTCTTGTCTTTATATTGAAAAAAAACCCCAATAAAATTGTTCCAAAAAAAAAAAAAAAAAGGGTCTTAAAACAGTGTCTTTTTGAATCGGCTCAAATCTCAGGTTCAGTCTCAGAGTCATCACTCCAATCAAGTTAAGAACCTGAATCACCTGCATCGTCAACAGTGGCAACATCAAGGTCACTCTCGGGATCACTTGGACTATCACTGTCAAGTTCCCCTTCATCCTCGAAGCTGAGATAATCAGGCACCGGCGGCCCCAAGAACCAGTCTGGGAGGTAGTTTCTGTCCTTTTCTTTCCAGCCATATTCAAGGAGATCCAAACCATGTCCTGGATCTCCTGAATCAGCATTTCCCCACACAACACTAACAAAGTGTGCCCGTTGCAGTTTGTTGTGAACAGTCTTGACACAAGGCGGAAGAAGTGCACAGTCGACTTTCTTCATGTTGGTCATTTGCTTCTCCTGAAATGAAATGTATAAGACGTTTTCGAAGTCACAAAATGAAAACTACAGCGAGCCTATGTATAACTCCAAAAAAGCCCAGAATCATCAAGCCAAAATGTGACTTTCTGGGTTTAATTACCTCATTCATTTTTCCTGTCATCTGACGCAATTTGACGAATCGAGCCTCATTGACATCGTTCATCCCCTTCATGCCATTCAAGGAACATAGGAATTCTTCAGCTTTCCTCTGGTCTGGTTTATCTTCTGATGCCACACTGCTGAAGAACTGGATGAGTGTTCCTGTTGTGTCGTTCTCAAGAATTTCCAGGGGCTTTATTATACCCTTCCTGTATAACGCTGCTGTGAAGTCACAGCCAGTGAAGGCATGAAGACCGGGCAGGGCAGATGCAAGTCCCTTCTGCTTTGACTCCAACGCAGGGGCAATGCTGCTGACATCAATATGACGACGATTATTTCCTGACCCACAGTCCATAATTATTTGTTTATACGATGGAAGTGTTGGTATTGCTAGGTGCCTTCCTAACATTCCAAGGAGAACCACGATGACATCAGAGTCCGATGCCCAGATCACAACATTTCCAGTGACCCGAGATGCGTGCAATGCGAGGAGAGTGTCAGCTTCCTCATGTCTACCCTGTAGATTTGTTGGATGTGTCACAGTCATCTTGAAATTGAGCTCATTGAATGCAAGTTGGGCACAGTTTCCACCATGGGACACAATGAGTGTTTTCTTGCCCAGGATTAGCCCATAGCTGTGTTGTTTACATTCGTTGATAAGAAACAAAGGCAACTGTTCCTTGAAAATCCTGTTTTGCAACAGTTTCTGGCAACTCTGTCTGGGTGATTGTTCAGGACCAATGATAACAAATGGACGGTCAGCAGCTCCACGCAGATTCCTCTCACTTCCCTTGAGCGATACTGGGCGATAAGTATCAAAGAGTACATGGATCTCATTGCCAAGACTTTCACAGATGTGTGCCAGAAGAGACCGAGCCTGGTGTCCATATGTTGTAATGCACCCAATGGATGACAAGAATGAGTGGATCAACAGCCCTCCATCAATCAGGGTCACATTGATTGGCGGTAGAGGTGATTCTGTGAACCCATCCTGTAGTCCTTCAAGCTTAGCAAGCAGCTTGCTCTTCTCTGTCTTTAGCCCTGATCCATTATAGTGAGCAACTGACAATGGGTACTGGGTGATCGGAAATTTCATGACGTGCCTAAGATTGAAGGTGGTCCTCTGAGAAACTGCAACCAGTACTCTGATGAAAACATCTCTAAGGCTTGCAGCAGCAGGTTTTCCCTTGGCAGTGTGACATTTTTTGGAGTATTCCTGCGCAAAATTGGCAACCTTCCTTCTTTGAATTGGCTTCATGAATCGCTCCTTATCTGCTGCATATTCCTCTTCAAACTTTACATGACGTTCATGACCAGCAACTAGGCTCCCTGTCAGATATCCCTGTGTTTCTGCAGATGCTGCTTTTCCACTTGCAATGTTTAAAAGGCAAGCTGATGTTGGTGCTGCTGATGAAAAGGGGTCACATGATTCTGTTACTGCTTTAAACACGGCATCCCTTTGGCGACTGTATTTCTCAATTCTGTTGGCTCGTAGCTGTGTTGCAGGTTGCAGGTATTGTAGGGTTCCACTACTCCCGCAATGCAATTAGAAGATGGTGCATTACATCAACTCAACGACAGATGTCTGTGACTGAGCTGCGCGGTATGACAGGCTTGGAAGTCGAAGAGCAACCTGCAACACAGCTACGAGCCAGCAGGTGGGATACAAGCTGATGGCTGAACCCAGTGATGGACTAAAGTAGGCCCTTAGGCTACTTTTTTTGTGTGGGCCCTTCCATGTATACATGTCAAAACGTGCAAATATTATACGGCCCACACACACAGAAACTCATGGTACACTGGTACATACACTCACTGAGATAGCCTTTACGGTAAACAGCAAAGCTACAGAAAAAAGGCATTCACAGTGCATCTGCAAGCCAGTAACAGCTACAAGTGTTCTTTTTTTTAATACATTTTTTTCTGGGATTTTTCCTTTATTTGATAGTTACACAGTGGAGAGTGACAGGAAGGTAGGGGAGAAGAATGGGGAAGATATGCGGCAAATGACCTGAGCTGGATTCGAACCCGGGTCACCGCGAGAGAGACACAGCCTTTATGGTGCGCGCGCTTAGACCAATGAGCCACCAGGTCAGGCTAAAGCTGCGATGCAAGACTTCAATGTAATCTGGGGCTTAGCTTTGTATGCTGTACTAAAGAAAAAAGTAAGCCCCAATGTTCGTTGATCAGAGATGACAACTGTTTATCATTAACACAGCAAGAGGAAAATCCCGATCTGCTATCATATTTTCTGGAACGCTGACTCTGGCCCCGCACATTGTGTGCATTGGGAACGAGATGCAAATTTGTTGTAAATCGCCGAAGTGTCACATTGTGTCTGTTTCGTAATTTCTACCACCTGGCCTTATCTGGTTTTTCATCTGTTCACCTTATTGGTCTCCATTACTCAAGTATTATCTCCTGCTCTCCTTCCCTTAGGTGCTTCCGCCCCCACCATTTCCTATTGTTGATTGTTTGTGGCATATATTTTTAAGTCTATGTTCATTCCTTGCTGGATTATCTTGTCTCATCATAGTCCTTAGCAAAAATAGAATAAATGCACGCACATCCAGAACCAGATATCACAGGTGCAGGATCCAAAAAAACAGTAGAAAAGAAGAGAATAAAAGTCAGCACACTGTTCAAGTTGCTCCCAGAAGACTTTATTCCTTGCACAACGTTTCGGCCGCCATGGCCTTCGTCAGGTGAGTTCCACACATGTGATAGGGGTGGGGGTGGGGGTTTATTTACACTAAAGATGGTAGATGGACCAAACCAAAGTGCAATGAGTCCCAATATAAAAAAATAATCACATCAACCCCATATTACCTATGATCCCAAAACATACATACAAAAAGAAGTGAAGGCATATCAAGAATGCATATAGTAGGCTACTCACCACAGACAATCAGCACATTTAATAGTATATGCAGTTCAAGTTATATCCAAATGATATAGCCTAGTATCTCAGGGTATATTATAAACCCATAGGTCAAGCATAGGTACAGTTTAAAACTCCCAATTTGTACACATGCAAAGAAAACACAAATACATCAAAATCAGTTAGAAAGAAACACATTCCGTGCAAAAACTAAAACTGACAATCATAGCTACAATTCATAAAAAAGGTTTTAAATCGCACTCTTCATTGAGACCAAAAGGAGCCATTGTATTGAGGGTGTAAATGTAATAAGTTTTGCGCTGTAGAAGTATCCTATCAAGGTCCCCAACACGGGGGGGTTTTAACCTTCTCGATACCCATATAGCGTAGCGTGCTAATGTTGTGTCCCGCTTCTTTAAAATGTGCAGCTACGGGATTGCGCTCATCTCCGCTACGGATGTTACTCCTGTGTTTGCAAATGCGAGTTTTGAGTTGCCTGCTAGTCTTACCCAAGTAGGCCAAGCCACAAGGGCATTTAATCAGATAAATTGCATGCGTGCTACTGCACGTAATAACAGCATGAATTCTACAAGACTTTCTGCTATGAGGATGTGGCCCTTTTTAGGGGATACCCCCCCAGACGACCACGAGCAACGTCATCAGGGCGGAGGTCCGCTCAGGGGCAGGCGTTTGAGGGATCCCCCAAGAAACGAACCAGGAGGGGGACACGGAAGAAGAGGCCGGTTCTACACAATGAGGATCACAATGCGGTCATGAACTTCTCCAGCAAACCACTGACTGAACTGTGTACGACGGCTTTCGGAAAGGGCCTGTCGTTCATCCCCACTACATCGACTGACGATTTCAGTACCACCATCGACTTTCAGAAGTTCCTCCGGACTCTGAGATTTAAGGAATTTTTTCATTCGGGGGGTACTGAGCCCCTTAGTAGTTCTATGGGACCTGACACGGTGAATGGGAATGTCGCCGTCAACTCTGACCCCACCCCTCTTCCTCACAGCCCAGTGAGTATGCCTTTTAAGAGGAAATCAACTTTTATTCCTCACAAAAATAGAAATGCCTCGCTTGATACTTACTGTCGTTTGGTTGATAAGGATGTACAAGGTATTTTAAAAAATAAGAGGGAGTAAAAAGTGTACAATAATATGGCGAAAGCCGAGAGGGAAGCTCTATCTGAACTGGGTAAACATGCCACTGCTGTTGTTCGTCCGGCTGACAAGGGTGGGGCAATTGTTCTCCAAAACCTGGCTGACTATGAAAGTGAAATCAACAGACAGCTAAGTGATCAAACTTTCTCTAGCAAACTTCGCTCTGATCCTACCAACCAATTTAAGCTCTATGTGCATAATAAATTGAAATTTTGGATGGATCAAGGTGATCTGACCAAAAATGAATTTGAATTCATGAAAAATGATTTCCCTGTGACTCCAGTCATTTATATTCTTCCTAAGGTCCATAAATCGCAGACTACACCACTTCTGGGGCGACCCATCATTAGTGGTATTGGGTCTTTGACATCTGGCATATCCACCTTTGTTGATCATTGCCTTAAACCTTGGGTCACTAATCTCCCTTCTTACATCAGGGATTCCATTGATTTTATAAATAAACTCAAGGCTATTCAGTTGCCTGTTGATTTTATTTTAGTGACATTAGATGTTTCCAGCCTCTACACCAATATCCCTCATGATGGCGGTATTGAGGCAGTTAACCATTTTTCAAATTTGAGACCACTCACTGACAAACCCAGTACAAGGTGCATCTCTGATCTGACTGAGACGGTATTAACCTCTAACTATTTCCTTTTTAAGAATACATACTACTTGCAGACAAAGGGCACTGCCATGGGCAGCACTATGGCTCCTAATCACGCAAATTTGTACATGGGTCACTTTGAACAAAGACGTGCTGGAACCCGATATTAATGCTTTCCACTCCTGTATTTTGCTGTATCTGAGATACATGGATGATTTGTTTATCATCTGGACAGGTGACGAGGAATCCCTTAGGGCGTTCCATCAATATCTGAACTCGGCCAACCCACACCTGAATTTTACTCTTGAATGCAGTGACACCAGCATTAGCTTTTTAGACGTAAAGGTAATTAAGCATGGAAACTCTGTTTCGACTGACCTATTTCACAAACCTACAGACAGGAAGACGTTGTTGCGCGGCGATAGCTTCCATCCTACCCACCTTAAGAGAAGCCTACCCATTAGCCAGTTTCACCGTGCCTGGAGAATCTGTAGCTCCGACTCCCTATATCAGAGTCAAGCCACAAACCTGAGCAAACGATTTTTAGAGAGGGGTTATAAGAGTGAATGGGTTGATATGGCTGCTAATCGCTTTTGTGCCATTACACAGGAAGAGTGCCTTAAGCCCTGAACCAAGACAAAGACCAGACTCTCTTCTGTTTTACGAAATATTTGCCGGTTGGCTTTGAACTCTCCAAAGTCATTCGCAAACACTGGCACATAATTGAAACGGACCCTAAACTGAAGCAGGTATTCAGGGAACCGCCGTCCATCATTTTTAAGCGCCCTCCTAATTTAAAAGACAGGCTAGTGAAGGCCTATATCCCAGAAAAACGGGATACCTTTCTGAACGACCTGCCTGAGGGCAATTACAAATGTGGAAACTGTGCACAATGTGGATACACCATCAAAAGCAAAACATACATCCTCATAGCGGATGTCTTGTAGAATTCGTGGTGTTATTACATGCAGTAGCACGCATGCAATTTATCTGATTAAATGCCCTTGTGGCTTGGCCTACGTGGGTAAGACTAGCAGGAAACTCAAAACTTGCATTTGCGAACACAGGAGTAACATCCGTAGCGGAGATGAATGCAATCCCGTAGCTGCACATTTTAAAGAAGCGGGACACAACATTAGCACTCTACGCTATATGGGTATCAAGAAGGTTAAAAAACCCCCCCGTGTTGGGGACCCTGATAGGATACTTCTACAGCACGAAACTTATTACATTTACACCCTCAATACAATGGCTCCATTTGGTCTAAATAAAGAGTTCGATTTAAAACCTTTTTTATGAATTGTAGCTATGATTGTCAGTTTTAGTTTTTGCACGGAATGTGTTTCTTTCTAACTGATTTTGATGTATTTGTGTTTTCTTTGCATGTGTACAAATTGGGAGTTTTAAACTGTACCTATGCTTGACCTATGGGTTTATAATATACCCTGAGATACTAGGCTATATCATTTGGATATAACTTGAACTGCATATACTATTAAATGTGCTGATTGTCTGTGGAGAGTAGCCTACTATATACATTCTTGATATGCCTTCACTTCTTTTTGTATGTATGTTTTGGGATCATAGGTAATATGGGGTTGATGTGATAATTTTTGTATATTGGGACTCATTGCACTTTGGCTTGGTCCGTCTACCATTTTTAGTGTGTATAAACCCCCACCCCCACCCCTATCACATGCATGGAACTCACCTGATGAAGGCCATGTCAGCCGAAACGTTGTGCAAGGAATAAAGTCTTCTGGAAGCAACTTAAACAGTGTGCGGACTTTTATCCTCTTCTTTTCTCATCATAGTCCTTCTAAGAAAAGACCTAGTTATAAGCCTTGTGCTCTCCCATTTTCAGTCGAGATTAAAACAAGTGCCAAGAAGGCCTTTCTGGATCTGCACCTGGTTCATTTTTCCAAAAACATAACAGTACAATCCAACCTACAAATGGAACCAGCAGATCATCCTCATCCTGCTGATGCCATCCAGTTTCAAGGAATCCATCTGGGGCAGCAAGAGCCAGAACACTGCCAGCTTCAACAGTCCATCGGTGCCAGCTCCAATCAGCAAGTGCCCATCACAGACACCCCCTATGATTCCACCACCACAGCCTAGGCTGCCAGCTCTCTGCTCCATTGGACCCTTCCTCAGTTCATTGCTCCATGGTAGCCTAACCAGTGCTCCATGGTCTTTGAGCTCCAGCCCTCATCTTTTCCCACTGAGTGCTCCAGGCTTGTGTTTGTCATCACCTGCCTGATGGGGTACACCCAGGATTGGGCTGCGCAAGTTGGAATACTGGAGACCTGTTGGTGGTAGACTTCTTGGCCTTCACTGAGGAGTTGAAGAAGGTTTTTGATCAATCCTGTTCTGGCCAGGCCGCAACGCAACATATGCTCCAGCTTCACTATGATTTCCAATTCCTCAATCGATT